TTCCCATGTTGGCCTTTCACTTGTAGAGGCAGCAAAAGCAAACGGTGTGGTCATATTAAAGTTACCGCCACATTCTAGCCACATTCTACAGCCTATGGACTTGAGTGTATTCAAACCACTGAAGTTAATGTGGGACGAAGAGCTCATCAAGTGGCAAAGAAAAAATTACGGTATTAAACTCCCAAAGCGTACATTTGCCACAATTTTATCAAAAGTGTGGAACAAAATGGATTTGAAAAAGCGGGAATCTACCCTTTTAACAATGACGTTGTCCCAAAAGAAAAATTTGAACCAGATGCCTTCAGAAGATGGTCTCTCTTCAAACCAAATAACTTGTCACTTCCAGGTATTGCAGAGGATGACACAGTAGATGCCCCAGTGGCTCCCGGATCAGCCACTCTGGATGTTGTACCTCTGCAAAATATTTTAAATCCAGAAAAAATATCATTCGAGTCATTACTTTTACAACAGCTAAAGCAAGCTCCTAGAGTTCAGACAGGAAGGAAAAAGTAGGTTCAGGGGCTGAGGTTATAACATTTTCAGAAGCAGTTGCAAAATTAAAAGAAATGAATGACAAACAGCAGACAAAACAATTAAAAATTAAAAAACCGAAGAGCAAAGAAGTTGAGATGATACGAGAAGATACACAACCTATTGATGAACCAGAAGAAGAACTAAATGGTGAAGCAGAGGCCGCAGAACTAAGCGACGATAGTTTAATCGATTAGAATATAGAAGACGAAGCAAGAGAAGTTGAGGAAGAAAATGATTTTATGACTGCGATTACGAAAGATACGAAGCAAGTTGAAATCGGGGATCGACTAATAGTGAAGTTTTGTCCAAGAAAAGTCTCCAAATTTTATGTAGCCCAAGTAACGGAAGCAAATCCTTGTATCGAAGTCAAATTTGCAAGAAAAGTTGGAACCACAAATTATTTTCATTGGCCGGATGTTGAAGACAGGTCCATTATTACTTTAGATGAAGTGCACCTTCATCTACCCACACCGACGTTCGACAAACGGGGAAAGTTTCAATTTGACATATCTTTTACTACATATAACATTTGTTAGACAAAATCTTTGTGAAATGTAATTTTTTTCAATAAATTAGGATGAATTTAAATTTATTTCTACATGCCCCACACTTATTTCAGCCTACTCGAAAGTATTTCTTGCACACATTTACACTTGCCCCAAGCAACGGGGCAAGTGGAACCTAATGACATTTTTTTATTTGATCCCACGTATATTTTTAGCGAATTTCAGAATTTAGGCAAAATGTATGTACACACAGCAAACACCTTTACAAAATATCCCCTAAAATTTGGATGTGCCCGTCGATCATTTTCCGAAGATATTGAGCGGACATTCCAGATTTAAAAAAATATAGGTTCCACTTCCCCCGGTGTACCTTACTACAGTCAGTTTCATTCTGTATCATATAAGGTACACAATGAATCAAATGCCGAGACAACAAAAAACACTGAAATTACTCTTTCTAATAAAACTGAAGCATTTATCTATTTTATCCGACTTTGCTAAACCTAAAGCTTTAGTTTAAAACATTTACGATCGGTAAGGGCTTAATCAGTCTTGCAAAAAAAATTGAACCCAAAAACTGATCCATTGTGTACTACTCTCCCCTACTTTGTTTTTTTATTAGCTATTGGTTGGTATAACTAAACATTTAAAGAAACAAATTTATCTAGCAATAAAAAATGGAAATTTTAACAGTTTAGAAGGTTTAGATGACGATGATATTAAATATTTAATATTAAAAAACTTCGAACCAATACGAATGTCGACGAGCCCACCCGAAAGCTATAAAGTCGCCATTATCTGCTGCCCCTAAACATCTACAATTAAGGACAGGCACAATCTTTAATAAAGTCAGTTCTAGAATATGCAAGAACTACCAATATTTGTTTTTAAATATATTATAAAAACGTGTTTCGTCGATAATCTTTTGTGTCATATGCCCTCGTAACAATATGTTATTAATTTGATTTTGTTTTAATTATGAGTCAATATCAGGTCGTGTAATGAGTTTATTCATGCAATGCCTGTTAATTATTGGTATTACCGATAAAAACAGAAAAACCAAATAAATTATTTTTTCAAAAAACCCATTTTGCAATAACGCTTAAATATTTTTGTTAGTAGGGGACATTCTAGGCATAGATACAGTGTGATTCGCTTACATTGTACGGCGAGTAAAACATGTCACTTTTAAGCACACGTATGTATATAAAATAGGTCCTAATGGCACTAGAACTACCTACTAGAAGAAGAATGGTCAAAGTTGACAGATGATTATCAAAATGAAATTGTTTCATTTTCTGTATGTTAACTTTTAAATATTAAACTATAACCTCATAATGTATGTAAAAAAATGTTATAGTTGCTCAATTATTAAATCATATGTTCTGGAAACAAATTATTGGTGCAAGTTAGTAAAAATAAATTTTTCATCAGTAGTCTGGATTGTGGGATGTCTTTACCATTCTCCATCAAGTTCGGATGCAAAATTTCTAGAAGATTTTGAATCCATTTGCGACAATATTATTTCTAAAGTGCATAGATTTGTATTAGTGGGTGATTTTAATTTAAATTTGCTTGGTTTCAGTTTTTATGTTAACAAAATTAAGAATCTTTTCTCAAGCTATGGTATCCAACAAAAAATTATTAAACCTACGCGAGTAACTATTGATAGTAAGTCTCTAGTCGATTTTGTATTAACTAATGATGATAATTGTGATGCTGAAGTTCATGATACTCCGAAAATCAGTGATCATTCTGTGATTTCTGTAATTTTTTCCAATACAAGCAATACTTCAAACAAAGTTATAAAAAAAGTATAGGAATTATAATGAAACTAACATTTTTAATATACAAAATGATCTGATTATGTGCAAGTGGAATCTTAATACCATGGAGGAAGGATAAATAAGAGTTGCAGATTCCACACAGAAATTTGGCAATATGTTTGCCTTCAGCGACATATGGGACAGTTTCGTGCAATTAATACTCAGAATTTACTTCCACAAAATTTAAGAATTTTACATTTTCAATAGCATTCTTTTAACATGCATCTCATGCTAATGTATTGTAAATGTAAATGTATTTATTTTAAAAAGATTGTTTAAGTATATTGAGAATAAAAGTGGACCAAGTACAGTGCCTTGTGGTACACCGAATTTTATTAGACCCACATACTTTGATTTTCTCTTACTATACGGAGAATGGTCGCACTGCGCAGCTTTCTGAGTGCCTTTTAAAAGAAGATAGAAAATTCCGCCATTTTGATGCCTTATTACGTGTTGCCCACATCTTGGCGCAGTATTTTTAATATTTTGCTTGCTGCTGTCAGTGTCAGTGAATATTATTTTTGGAGTCACAGTTTATTGCTAAAAGCTCACTCGGACCAGTTGAATGTTCCAAAATAACATCCACTCCAGGGATACAAATTCAGGATGCGCAGAAGACTGCTGTTTTATTATAGGCGGTTGTCATATATTGTATTATCCGAGTTGCGCAGTGTATAAACTGGAACATTGAGATCAAAAGTGCCGACGTAGAGTGAGCGAACTGATTATTTAGCTATAAACTGCGGTAAAGGCATCAAAATGGCCGCGCCCTATGTTGGGCGTGTCGGACCTTTCTATTGCACCGTATAGTAATTAAAGTATGTGCCTAGACCGGATACAAATGTACGCAGCGGCATCTTTACCGGCTCCCTCACAAAGGCGATGCCGGTTTCGGCTTAAGGTGCGCGTTTGTTGGATCATGATAATTTATTTATTGTGATTACGAAAAAACGTTAGTTGGACCTTTGGAATAGTTAAGAAATAAAACTACAAAGAAAAATAACTTGTTTTTATAAAGCAGTCAAAAATATGATAAAAAAAATCAATAATATTTATAAAATGGACAAAATTTTAATTTTTCTTTCGGTTTTGTCTGACTTTTTCGAGGATTTCAAATCTCTGTTTGCATATTTAAGAGTATAAAAAATTCTGAGTCTTATAAATAATTTAATGGTGTACATTTTCGCAAATTGTTGGCAAGGATGATCAAATTATATTTTGCTCATCTCAAAAAGGTATGCGTTGGAAATTCCAGACTTAGTTAACAAACTATCAAATAGAGATATAAATATTTTTCTAATTTGAAAATATAAAAGAGAAACATTTCGCTGGGAGATTTTAAATTGCCAAACACCTTTTCTTTAGAGTCGTACGCTTTAAAATGCGTTAACAAGTTAGAATTGTTACGCAAATTTCGCAAGAGTGGATATGTAATGATTTTTTGATTAAATAGCCACATACATAGTTAAATGCATTTTGAGTGGTCACATTTAGCTCCCTGTAGTTTAAAAAAAGTTTAAAAAAAAATTGACAACTTTTATTAAAACTGATAAAATTTGATTTTAACTTTTATATAATTGATTATTACTTTTTAATCTACTTTTTTATTCTTCTTTTTTAATATTTGGGTTCATGCTTTCAACTGTTATTTGTTAATTAAGGCTATCTAAACTCAAGATTAAAAGTATCTTTGTAATGTGTAACAAATTTATTTTTCTTAACTCAGATTATGTTAATGTTAATAATAATTATCTTTAAGTTTTAAGTGTACTGTATTTGTATTTCTATAATATTTTTTTTGTATATTAGGTTTATCCTACTTCAATAAATATCTATCTATCTGTAATGATCTGTTTTCAAAAGGGTAAATCTCATTTATTTATTTTATAATAATAAAATTAAAACCGAACATTGTCTACATATTCTGGATATTCACACATTAGAATTACATATATTTTTATTCTCTTTTTTGTTTACATTTTTATTTTTATCTTTTAGTAATGTCTTGTGTCTTTTACATGCTTGGTTTCCTTTTAAAATTAACTGTATATTTGCCCGTTGTTCCTATATATACTATTTATTATACCCCTGTTGATTCTATTCAATTTCAAAACAAATTATTTGATATGTTTACCTTCTATTAATCCTCATATTATCAACAAAAACCACTTGAAAATGTATTATTAACTTAAAGACACCAGTTTAAGTCACATCAACTTTCTTTTTTTTTTAACTTATTTATGTCACCAAACCACTTGGAATTAAATAAAACTAGAATAATCAACTTTTACATCGTCATTTAAAATAATGAACCGCTATCGCAAAACTGAGGTAATTCAGACCAAATTATTGTAAATAATACGCGTCAGGAGGGGTAAAAGTTGATTGTAAATATTTTAATTGGTATATTAATGCACCTGGTATACGAGGGGTGTCTCGAATATTTCTTAATCGTATTTCCTCTTAGATTTGAAAAACTTCATCGATATTTTTACTAATGCTACTAATGTTTATATAAAAAACTTTAAAAAAATCATATGAATTTTCAATTCTAACTTGTGAAATAACATTTTCATGCCTGGCTAAGTCTCAAACTTCAAAAGTATCTACTGTTTCATTATTATAATCTAGAATAGTAACTTGAACTTCCTGATTCCTGTTTACTTAAACTTTTTAGAAATAGACCGCGAACTTTAGTAGTGTTCCTCGTAATCATACGCCTCTGTGAAAAATTTATAACGTAATTTCCACCAGGAAAAGTCCAAAAATACTTTTTAAAACAAATAAACTATAAACTATACTAATTTTTCTTTAATTGCAAATTAAATACGTTAATTAAATTGGTCAATAAACTTTATAAACTAACCTTCTAGATGAGAGGTAATTTAAGTAAACACATTTAGTCAAATTACAGTAAATAAATATGTATCGGCTATTCTGATTCTGAATGTTCTTCAAATAGCCACAGTATGAATACGAGTTTGAAAAAATCGTCAGAACTGAAACATATCTCAAAAATATCTAAAGGTAACATAAAAATATCCACAAAAATTTTTATTCGATGTACTATACAGGGTGAGCCACCGAAAACTTTCCATCCAGGTTTTTTTCGTATTGACGCTAAAAAAACAAAAAGACGTTAGGGTCAATTATAATTTGGAGGGGGACATTTTTTTTCTAATTGTAGTATCAGCACTTCAATCCTCGAGTAGTGGGGTGAATAACCCTTACAATTTAAATAGGACAAGTACCAAGAATGACACATCATTAAAAAGGTAAGTTGATGAAGAATTCGGCAATAAGACTATGGATTGCGTTACTTTTGATTTTAACGCCCTCTAGCTTGATAAAAAACGTAATTGATGTAATTAATACGGCTGATTCACAACCAGCATACGATTTTAACAATCCAGTTTTATAATTTTTTAATACTTTTGCGAACTTTGGTTTTACATCTTAATTGTAAAACTTGTTAAACACTACTGATTTTTGTCCTACAGTTTTTCTAATTGTTTCGATATCGACGCAGATTATGAGGACGGTCGAGGTACATACGTATGGGTACTAAGTGCTTGAGCTACCCACCCAATAGTTTGGGGAGATACTAGAAGGACTGTAGCGTTAGTGGTTAGAATAAAAGGCCCTGAAGACCTGTGAGACTTTGTTTTTTCTTTTTCCCCATAAAATAAAAATTGTTCTTGCCGAGCATAAATTGAGATAATTCGTGGCAGAATGAAAATACTAATAAAGGCTGATCTCGTTGTTAAGGTGGGGGACCCAAGTGAAAGTATTCCAGATTTTGAGTTCGCAAAGAAACCATCTTGCAAATATTTTTCCCAACTTTTTACTATTTCTTCGTTGATTGGTTTTCCGAGAGAGGTGTTGCTATTAGGATCCGCTCCCAGGATATCCTGATACTGAATTTGATCCTTGCTATTTAAACGTCTATGTTCTGGTGAAGATGACGAGTTTAATGTATATACCTCTTAGATTCTGATTCTGAATAAACTTAAATCTATATTTAATCAATGGCTAATTCATGTGCACATAAAGGGGCAATTTTTTTGTTTTTAAGGGTGTAGGATTTACCCATGCAGTAATAACATTAATGAGCTTTGAATAGCTTTTTTGCTTTCTTACATTTTGTAAGCATAAAACCAGAGTTACCAGATAAAGAAGCCTCTTTTCTACATTTATTTGTCTATAATGCAGAATTTACATAGTACCTACATTCTGCTTCCAAAGTTTTTCGAAGTTTACACTTTAACTAGCATTTTTCGCATTGCAGTTAGCCGGGCTAGCATCTTATATGTACAAGATCAGATTTAACACATAAAGCAGCCTCCTTTGTACATTTATTTGTTTATAATTTGGAATTTTCATATGAAATATTATCTTTCGTGGACAAAGTTTTGCGAAATTTACACATTAAGTAGAATTATTCGCGTTGCTATTGGCTGGGTTAAGTATAATATCAGAGTTAATACATAAAGTAGCCTTCTCTGTACATTTATTTTGCAATAATATACAGAATTTACACAAAATGGTATATTCCTTGACCAAGTTTTGCGAAATTCACACATTAACTAGCATTTTTCGCGGTGCAATTAACTGAATTTGCAGTTTATAAGTATAAGATCAGAGTGAACACATAAAGTAGCCTTCTCTGTACATTTATTTGACTTAAATGCAGAATTTACACATAAAATAGTATCTTCTCAACCAAAGTTTTACAACATTTACACATTAAGTAGCATTTTTCGTGTTGCAGTTAACCGAGTTTGCAGTTTATAAGTATAAGATCAGAGTTAACACATAAAGTAATCTTCTCTGTACATATATTTGTTATTTGCAGAATTTACACATAAAGTAGTATCTTCCGCCACAAAAGTTTTACATTTACACATTAAGTAGCATTTTTCGAGTTGCAGTTAGCCGAGTTTGTAGTTTATAATTATAAGATCAGAGTTAACACATAAAGTAGCCTCCTCTGTACATATATTTGTTATTTGCAGAATTTACACATAAAATAGTACCTTCCGCCATAAAAGTTTTGCGAAATTTACACATAAAGTAGCATTTTACGCTCTGCATACGGCTTATATGAATGATGTATCTTTTGTATATTTATATGTCGTCTAAATTCGGAAATTTACAGCAAAGCAATATCTTCTGCAAGCTAAAAATCAATTAAATTATAAAGAAAAACATTCTCAAACCTGTACTAGTATAAGCACAGCTTATACAATACAGCTCCACAACTCCGTGTCGGCGTCTTTGATCTGGCGGTCGAGAACCAAGCAAGACGGAATAGTGCTATCTCTGTTAGATTTGAGGGAAAAGACAGGCCCGGATTAAACAATTTTTTTATTATTGAAAAAATTGAAAACCTTGGCGTAATAAGGTTGGTTACATGCCATATTAAGTAAGTTTTGGGAAATTAAATTTTTAATTTGTTATAAATCTGTCAAATATAATTAGAAACATTATTTAAATATAAATATTACGAAAAATAGCACATCTTTCGGATTAGAGGTAAAATAATTTGTATGTGGCTAGTAAAATCCTCGTTAACAAATGTTTTGAGCTAAAACAGTCACTTCACGACAAATTGTGGCTTGGATCCTTTTTACACCAAGGGCTTCAATTGTTAAAGAATTGTGTCACGCTCGTGGATGCAAATCAAGTGGTACCCCGTGTCTCTGGCAAGTGTTACTCTTCGCGCAAAAGGTTTATACCTAGATAAACGAATGCTTCGACTGAGGTCTGGGAACTTTGGGTATTTTGGAATTATAAAGAATTTGTGCTTTTATTTTAACAATATTGGTTATATTTAGATGTATTCTTATTAATTGAAATACAGATTTGTAGAAGTAATACTTTGACAGTTTTTATTAATATAATATATTCAATTTTTATCTGACCATACCGAAGTAGGGAATTTTGAAACTTTATAGTAATGTGAAATTTGAATTACAATATTACACGATATTACATAATTAGTACTTATTTTAGGTAGGTACTAAATTTGTACTTGGAGAAAGTAATATCGATTTTTACAAGAAAACTTGAAAAGTAAATTAATTTAGTTCCTATTTCTGATGTAAAACTTAAGTTTTGGTTTAAACCAAGAAAACAAATAAATTATAGTTTGTTCAACAAGGGTGGATATGATAGCAATATCACACAAAGACGAAGTTTGAGCACGACGTCGTATGCGGAGTACTCAAACGTCTGATTGTGATATGAACAATCCACTCGATATGGTCAGTATATTTTTTCTACGACCCACTAACGAAAATCTACAAATTTAAAAAATTATTTTAGGTTATTTAGACAAACTAACTAATTTTAAAATAATTTACGAAGTTGACTAATTTATAAAATAAAATTAACATGAAAAATTAATTAGTCCTCGGCCTAGATTCGATCCCGGGCTTTTCGCGTGGAAGGCAGATGCTCTGTCCTCATCTTCACCGAAACTTTCAGAACTTTAGTTTTAATACTCGTAATTAAATTAATTAATTAATTCTAAAAGTGTGGTACAAATGTTATTTTTTGTAGCCAATTCTTCAAAATTATTTTGAAATATCTTTTCAATATTGAATATTAGTTCTACAAATTCATCATTTGACAGTTGCAGATTTCCTAATGTATCTGGATTGGCGTTATCATATGCCTTTAAAAAGCAATAAAAAGAAAAATCATCTAATTCAACGTGATCTTTGTTATATTTAAGACAGGTATCGCAGAGGAGTGGATCCGCAAGGCTTTTATTAAAAGGTAACCACACACATACCTGATAAAATTTTTCTGTATCAATTCGTCTTTACAATAATTTAGGGTGTTAATAATTTTATCATAAAATAAAATACAAGGTGTTCCATTTAAAAAACATACATTTTAATTTGCCAGGCAAAAACGTGACACCCTGTATATCCAAAGATATTTTTAAAATATGTAGGTAATTTTCAAATCCATATAACTTTTATTTAAAACTTTCTTGCGTGTCTACAACAAAATAATGAACAATAACGCACTAATGGGATACCCTGTATAAATTATATTTTTAACAATGAAAATTTCTTATAATGTAAAACTTATCGGTTTGGGTCCTTGGGAAAACTAAAGAATGTTTTCTTGCAGGTATAACCCTTATTAAAACAGCTTTTGACTGCACAAACAGAATGATGTCTTTTTTTTTCACTCATTCTACTCATAGCTAAAGAGTCACCAAAATAATAACAGTACCTTTAACTCAAACAAAATCAACGAAATTATAAGCTCCACGAAATTATACAATCAACGAAATTATAGGCTCCACGAAATTATACAATCAACGAAATTATACGCACGACTCAACACCTTACCTAAGTACGCTTCTGAACACCAAAACCGTCTTTTCCCTTCGAAGGCGGAGCTTAAGCGATGCGCGACGAAATCGACGCAAACCGTTGCCGCCAAGAGAGTGTTTTAGCTGTATTGTATAAGCTGTGGTATAAGATCAGAGTTAACACATATAGTAGCATCCTCTGTACATGTCTTTGTCTATAATGCAGAATTTACACATAAAGTAGTATCTGCCCTCATCAAAGTTTTACGAAATTTGCAAATTAAGTAGCATTTTTCGTTTTGCAGACGGATTTTATGAATGATTGCACGGTTAACACATAAAGTAGTATCATCTGTATATTTATTTGTCATCTAAATGCAGAAATTTACACATAAATTAGTATCTTCTGCAAGCTAAATATCAGTTAAATAAAAAGAAAAACATTATTTTGCTACCTGTGCTCTGAATTTCTTCATTTCTTTTTCAATTTATCGTATTTCTGAGACAGTTTTCACCCATGTTTTTATAATCGCTGGAATGTAGTCGGTCTGAACAATGTGAATCACGCGAGACAAAAATTGGTAATGAGTAATTTAGGCAGGCAGCGATAGAGAATAACATAAAAATTTTAAATCTGAACATGTGGGTCAGCGGCGCAACATAGGTATACTACATGGTTATCTTTATTTCCACTAACAAGGATGTGAAGCATAATTACAGAATGTTAATACAGTTTTATACAAAACTCAAGCTTTGAAAATGCGGTAGTTTATTATTTGGAAAAGACGGTCAAATGAATCATTAAAATGTGCTACATTATTTCTTGATACCGTTTCCCATAACATTCTACTTGACAAACTAAATAACTATGGCATAATATTTAGTATTGAGGCTCCTGGGGATTAGTTATCAAATAAAACCCGTGAAGGTGGAGCTACAGCAACGCGCGTTGAGATAAGTAACAGTTGTTATCAAGCTATAAGGCGTTAAAATCAAAAGTAACGCAATTAATATTGCAGGAATTTTCTCTTAAATTGCCTTTTTAATGATATTTCAATCCTTGGTACTTATTCCCTATTTACTACTATATTTATGACCTGCAAATATAAAAAATATAAAATGAAACGTATGTTAAATTTAATGACAGGAAGGTTGGTTTGTTGAAAGTTTGGTTAGAAATTAATTTAACAGTGGAACCAAAATTTTTGGATAAAAGACAAAATTATATCACACCAATATGGCGTTTAAAAACACGTGGCTACTACTCCGATAAACGACCAAATTTAGATTTAGTTTTTAAAGACTCTCACTACTTTCTAGATGGCGATCCATTGGCATTTTTGGAGGATCTCTTACCGTTCAGGATATATCAAAAGTCGTTTATAATCAAAACACTTGCGCTGGCACAGGTCATATATGTATTGATACTTGGAGGACTCTTTATACGCGAATTTGATTCAATTGAAAGTGACATAAGATTATTGAAGAATTATAATTGTCTTTCATCGTTCGGTTTAGCGGTAAGTGTAAATACAATGACATTGCCAGAAATATCTGACATCATAGGTACGCTTTGCGCATGTGTTTAACTCAAACTCGTTGTTGAACTGGTACTCTATCTACTGGCTGAACTCCGAATGACGGTTACATCCTCCTATATAAAAAAAAAGCTTTTTGCTTAAACTTAGGTTTAAATGGAACTTAGTTTAAACTAAACCTATATAACTGGCCCTTAATAATTACTTGTACAAGTAATAAGTCAATGGCTTTATTAATTCAAAACCTATTTCTTATTTTAGTCAGCAATGATAACTGTTCAGTTTTCTATCTGGTGCAACACCGTTGCGGAATTTCCCACGAAAGTGCGAGAAATGGGTTGCAATTTGACATGCGCCGGCTTCTCCCTCTACCAGTCTATTTTGAAAGAGTGCAAAATAATCAAAATTACTATCTACGCAAACTTAGGAATGTCTTTGTTAACATCAATATCGTTTATGCCTTTTATAGGAGACGAAGCTCATTTTAATCTACCGGAATTTCTAGTAGAAAAATATAATCCCTATGGCAAAGGGTTTATTAGAGGTAAGTAAAAAAACAATATTTAATGCAGGTATTAAAAACCGAGCCGGTTACAAAAACAATCATTAAATTTTATTCATAACTGGCACAGTCAGTAGGATAACGAAGATTATTTCATTGAAAACATTACGAAGCAAACTAATCTATTATCTCTTTTTGAAGTTGTGAATTACAGTTTCATCCCTCTCTTTGGATATACCTTGTTAGTGCCTCTGTTTTTTTGTACACATTACGTAAGCCACATAAAGTTTCAAATAATGTTGCTTAATGGTTTCCTGAAGAAAATCAACGAGGAGGGTAGCATTCTCGATGGGAGATATCAAAAAATTGTGTCTAAGAAGCTTAAGTTGTGCGTTCAGCTGCATAACAGGATAAAAAGGTGAGATTAGACCACGATACACAGACTAACGGCACAGTTTATAGGTTAAAAGAATCAGTTTGCTCACTCGGACCAATTGGATGTTCCAAAATAAGGATCCCAGACAGGATACGCAGAAGACTGCTGTTTTATTATAGGCGGTTGTCATATATTGCATTATCCGAGTTGCGCAGTGCATAAACTGGAACATTGAGATCAAAAGTGCCGACACAGAGTGAGCAATCTGATTCTTTAGCTATAAACTGTAGCATAAGAATCAAAATATCCGCGCCCTATGTTGGGCGTGTCGGACCTCTCTCTTGCACCGTATAGTAATCAAAGTATGTGGATTGTTTTATAAAAACGGGCCCATGATATATGCTGCGTTTGAAAAGTACCTCGTTTTGCTTTTTTTACTCGATACCGCCCTTTTTGCTTCGTTTGCTCCATTGATATGGTTTGCTCGATGTCACGTGATCGAGTGACCAAAAAATCTACTCGCTCTGCTCGATGAGGTACATTTCAAACGTAGCAATAGATAAACTTACTTATAGTGAAACTTCGTTCATTTTCAGAATACTCGAAGAAGTTATGGTTATAAATAACCCACTAGGTATACTGATGATATTTGTTTCCACTCTATTATTTGTATCTGCAGCCTATTTTATAATTTCAGTAAGTATCCGATAAAAAAAATAAATAAAAAATGCACCATGCGTATAAACTTAAAACAAAGACTCACTGAAATAGAAAGAGACGGAATAACCAAGACAAATCTAGCGAAGAACCGTCTCAGTATCAGCAATTTGAATGAATTTAGAAATTATTAATGATTAGGTATATTACTAAATCTTTAACCAGACAACACACGAAATCCCAGAGATATCCACAGAATATCTTTTGTGGATATCCAATATATCCACAGGATATCATAGATATCCCGTGAAACTAATATGAATATCCAAATGTCCGTCTATATCCAGGATATAGAAGATATCCTATGGATATCCAGCAAAATATCTAATGAGTATCTCCCAGACAATACACGAAATCCCAGAGATATCAGCAGAATATCTTTAGTGGCTATCCAATATATTCACAGTATATCATAGACATCCAGTGGATCTGATATAAATATCCAAATGTCCGTCTATATCCAGGATATAGAAGATATTTTATGGATATCCAGCAAAATATTTAATGGTATATCCCAGACAATAGACAATACACGAAATTCCATAGATATCAGCAGAATATCTTTTGTGGATATCCAATATATCCACAGGATATCATAGATATCCATAGAAATAACTGTAGTTGCTACTTTTGTTGCGAACCCTTTGTTTTTCATAATTATCTTTAAATGTACGTAAATAGTACGTAAATAGTACGTAAATAGTACGTAAATAGTACGTAAATAGTACGTAAATAGTACGTAAATAGTACGTAAATAGTACGTAAATAGTACGTAAATAGTACGTAAATAGTACGTAAATAGTACGTAAATAGTACGTAAACAATACGTAAATAGTTCTTAAAAGGTACTTAAATAGAACCTAAATATTACGTAAATAGTACATAAATAGTACGTAAATAGTACGTAAATAGTACGTAAATAGTACGTAAATAGTACGTAAATAGTACGTAAATAGTACGTAAATAGTACGTAAATAGTACGTAAATAGTACGTAAATAGTACGAAAATGTAACGTAAATAGTACGTAAATAGTACGTAAATAGTACGTAAAGAGTACGTAAATAGTACGTAAATAGTACGTAAATAGTACGAAAATAGTACGTAAATAGTACGTAAATAGTACGTAAATAGTACGTAAATAGTACGTAAATAGTACGTAAATAGTACGTAAATAGTACGTTAATAGTACGTTAATATTACGTAAATAGTACGTAAATAGTACGTAAATAGTACGTAAATAGTACGTACATAGTATGTAAATAGTATGTAAATAGTATGTAAATAGTACGTAAATAGTACGTAAATAGTACCTAAATAGTACGTAAATAGTACTTAAAAGGTACTTAAATAGTACTTAAATATTACGTAAATAGAACGAAAATGGTTCGTAAATAGTACGTTAATAATACGTAAATAGTAAGTTTGTAAATAATAGTATGTAAATAATAGTATATAAATAGTACACATGAAAATAGTACAAATTGTAGATAAATAGTAAAAAAATCGTAGATAAAGATTATAAGAAAAAAGTACCCATAAAAAAAATGTAGATGATGACTTAAAAAAAGTCGTTATCCCATTTTTCTTCGCAGTGGAAACCCTACACCATTATTACCGAATAATATACAAACAGTACACAATTAATACACAGTAGAAGTAGTAAACAAATAATACACAAATAGTACACAAATTGTTAACAAATATTACACAAATAATACACAAATATTTTACAAATAGTACACAAATAGATTTTGGAACAATTCGTCTACTGTAAATTACCTTTGTTTTAGAATATAAGTACAAGGAGTAATTTTCGAATGTATTTGGTTTTGCTCGCATGGTCTCTGATAGCTGTTACTTTTTGTACAACTGCGCAAAGGCTTACAGATCAGGTAAGTGTCCCCATTACATGACGTACATTCATGGAGTTAGAAGGTATATAGGTACCTTTTACCTTCTACCCCCATGTCCAATCCCCAACCCCAAGCAGTCACTTTATCTTCTATATACAACCAATATGGTAACGCCAAAACATATGCAACCAACAGTGAATGAGTGTCTGTTAAATAAGTTGCACACAAGTCAAAAGAAAAAATAATTCTAACTAAACTAAATTCGAGAAAAGACGATGACACAGTCTCTTTTTACTTGTTTAAACATCTATTACCTAAATACCTGTAACATTTTAGTCAGAAGAAGTTTTCCTTAACGCTTATAATTGCCCATGGGTTTGTTGGAACAAGGAAAATAGACGAACTCTAGTAATGCTGCTTGCTAATAGTTTGAAACCGATGAATGTTACTATTTATATTACTGAAACAAATCATACGTTGCTACTAAAGGTAATACTAATTTTTAAGATAATAATTTCATTTCTGCAATTAGGCAATCCAAATCACGTGACTTTAAATGGTGGACCCATAGCAAAAACAGCAAAAGTACGTGCTTCCCTTGTCAAAAACATTTCTAGTGATGTTATTAGTCTAAAGTTGTATTCTTTTTTTGGAGCGTTTAGAGTTTTTTTCGGTACCTATGTTTAGTTGAAAAACGGCATAATTTACAATAAATTCTAATGAAAAAGTCAGGTTAAGAAACTTTTTTGTTTTTGCCAAACATCGGCAATTTTTGTACATTCTGACAGGGGGGCTATTTTCAAAGTCGAGAGAATTCATTTCTCTCGAGAGAAATGTCATACGTCACCGTAAAACAGTAATTTTTAGGGTCCTAAGGGCCAGTGTGAACTCACTGATTGTTTCTCACGGTTTATTTAGAGATAATTAATATCCTCCTAAGAATTTTAATCCTCGAGGCCTTTAAAAACAGCGTTTCCACATTGACGTATGACATTTCTGATGAAAATCTTGAGAGAAATGAGTGCTCCCATACTTTGAAAATAGCCCCCCAGGACGTTGGATTGCATTGTTGCTTGCGACTTCTGTATTAAAATAACTTCAAAACGTTTCTGTCAAAATCAATGACAATGTTTTTTTGTTTGGTTTACTGACGTCACACTAATGCGTCGTGTGTATCTGGAATATACAGGGTGTTCCGTAATGGTGTTTCAATATTTATAAAGGATGTTCCACCAATCATCGAGTTAAATTATTTATTTTTTTGTATGTAAACTGTTATACGAAAAAATTACAAGAGTGAAAAAAGTTTCTAAATTGCGTGTAGTATTTATTAAATTATTTTGTTATAAATGGTTTTTAAAGAAAAAAGTTCTACAGAAATAAAAACATGAACATCACAAAATAGTGTTCGACAACGGATAATGTATACCAAAATGACAACAATTTTCAAGAAAAAACAAAATAAAATAGTTAAATTAGTCACAACGAAATAGGTATCACTTATTTAAATTGTTATAACTCCAAAAAGAGAGGAGATACTTACTTTAATTTTTGTGTTCTTATAGTTTAGGTATGTGTCTTTAAGAGTGTGTAAGATTTAATATTGGTACATTTAATAAAGTTAAAAAAAAGCAAATTGATAACACTTGTTTATTAATATCAAAAAATTTCAAAATAAACAAAAACTAATAATGTGTATGCCCTCCTCTGGCTCTTAAAACTTCGACACAACGTCTAGGCATAGATTCTATTAGTTGACGAATCGTTCCTTGAGGAATATCGTTCCATTCCTCCTGAAGTTGTACTGCTAACACCTGTAGATTATTTGGCTGTTCTCGATCCCGCAATCTTCTTCCCATGATGCTCCAAAGATGTTCAATGGGATTTAAGTCAGGACTGTTGGCTGGCCACTCCATTACAGTAAGATTTTCCTCTTCAATAAAGTTTTTAACAATTCTTGCAGTTTGTAAAACAAAATTAGGGCCTTCTACATGAGCCAGTGGAACGACAATAGGTGCTGATATCTCATCGATATAACGTCTAGCTGTTAAGAGTGCCATTTTCAAAAACATGTAAGCCCAGTTGGGCTTCATGAAGTCTGTTACGTGTAGTCTGTAGAGATATGCATCTACCAGTGGCCTGAAAATGTAAGTTTCTTATCTGTGTAGCTGTTCTTGTCCTATTTTGTAGGGATAATCGTACAATTTGGCGTTGCTGTCGGGGCGTAGTTATTCTTTCTCGTGGTGTATATGGTCTTCTACGGATAATAGTTATTCTTTCTCGTGGTGTATATATGGTCTTCTATGGATAATACCTATGTCTTGAAATCTATTCTACATTCGGTGAATCGTTGGTTGACTTGTTTGAAGCAAGTAGGCTGCGTATCTCTGCGAACGTCCTTCTTGTAATAGTGTAACGGCTCTTGTTACTTCAATTTCACTTAGATGCCTTCTTTGTACAATAGGCCTTCCAAGAACATCGTTATTCATAATTTCAAGTCAATTGTTAATGTTACAAACAATTTAATTGGTGTACAAAGTAAAACTGAATGTATCAGACACTTTTAATTTTTTGCGTATACAGATAATTAATTCAGTGATACCTATTTCGTTGTGACTAGATTATTTATTATACAAGAGAAAAAAGTATTGAATTAAAATTTGTTTAAATCATTAATTTAAAATTATTTTAAACCATGTTTGATTAATATACCTAGCAACACGACAGGGATAAGTCATGCATTCTGCGCATGCTTATAGACACCCTAATCTGCGATGTCCTGCGCAGAGACGCGTTTTTTTGAATAGGTTTCAATTTCTGTTTAAATATTCCATTTATATTAGTCTTCTGTATTATTTTTATGACCTAAATTGCAAAATTTTATCAAAAACTGGGTGGGAGAACAGCCTATTAAAATATTGGAACATCATTACGGAACACCCTGCATATTGCCCAAAAATTACCTAAAGCAATGAAAACATGACTGATTTTTACATTTTTGTTTTGTAGCTATGGAGATTGGGTCACGCAACATTGACATGTTTAGCAAATGTTAATAAAAAGAAGTGAAAAACAAATACTAGAAATGAGTATCAGCACCGGTAAAAGAAAAATCTGCATTTGCTTAAGTAGTCCAACAAATAGACAAGGATTGTTTATTTTTAAATGACACCACATAGAAAATGTCACCGCTCACTATAACCCACAAAAATGTTAAATAAAACAACACATCAATGTAAATTCTTTTATTCTTATAAATAACAAAAAAATATTCAGAGTCTGTCACAACAGAGTTATTATGCTTGCTCTCTTATTAAGTGTTTAAACATTGATTAAATAAATAACAATTTCAATGACATAATGACGTTACTGACAATGACATATGACGTTGCTGACAATCGTTGACATTTACTCATACATTTAAAACCAATTAAAACACTTAAATAGAGAAACAGAATGCAAAATCTGAGCTATATCACACTTATTTTTTATTATTTTTTTTTTCTTGTGACAAACAATGTAAAAAAAGTTTAGTCACTTCAAACTTTCTTTACAATCTGTACAACGTCTTCGTCGCAAAGCAAATGATCCAATCCGACTTTTTGGGGCTGGTGTTTGACAGATGATCCCCATACCAACCCGCTGAAATAGAAATAAATATGTTTTCTTATATTTAGAAATACTAGGGAAACTGTTAAAGGTCGTGAATAAGACAAAAGAGTAATATAGGTGCTAAAACTGTTCCTTGAGGCACTTCCGCATTAATCTTGCAGCCTTCAACAGTAATAACGACCATTTTTTTCATGGATATGACCTGTTTGAAAATACTTACTATTTAAATTCCTTAGCGATGCTCCTATGCAATTTATTGCAAAAATCTTCTATTGTCGTGTGTTCCGAGTGCAATACAATGGGTGAATTGTAGTCAGGCAGCTGTCCTTTAGGTTTTGTATAACTAAAAGAAACAAATAGCTTACAAACCAACAGAAAACCGGTGGATCATAAGTTTCTAAATGTGCTGAAATGAATTGTTCTACTTACATTCTCACCAATTTCAAATAATCCCACATCTTTTCCAGTAAATCATCGAAGTTCCATCGGTGATGGGCGGAAATCGGTACACAATGAGGTATTTTGTAAATGACATCTAATTCCTCAATACTAATTTGATCTAAAACCATTAATTTTTTTAAACCTATTTTTTTTAATGGAATTTTTTGAATATACCAAACCCTCTACTCACCAATTTTATTTAAAATATAAATGCAGGGCACATAAATCCTATTCCCCTCAATGACATCGATCAAATCATCGCTGGTAGCGTCATACTTCAATGTAACATCAGCGTTATGAATTTTATATTCAGAGAGTATCGTTTTGACAGTATCAGAATCCAACTCGGATTGCGGCACCATGCTGTTCAAGTTGATGCCGCCCTTGTCTTTTTTCCGAAAATATATATTAGGCGGTTGTTTGTTCAGACGTAGTCCGAAACCTTCCAATTCATGCTCGATGAGCATCTTGTGCCCCAATGGTTTCAGCACGTCCAAACACAGGAAGATCAGACTGCAAGTGCGCGCCACGGCTATCACTTGACGACCTCGACCTTTGCCGTCCTTGGCGCCCTCAATGATTCCCGGTAAATCTAATAACTAAGTTTAACAAATTGAAATTAATAAAAAAAAAACAGTTCGGTTATTGGGGCTAGGGCAGTTCAGGGAGAGATATTGATGTCAAACTTGGTATATGGATGTATGAATCTTAGACTAGGTAATAAAGAGAGGACGCGTAACAAGTATATCGAGCCCACGTAGTATTCTGTGCAGATTATCTACTGGCTGTCATTATTTTGGTGCCAATCATTTCGGTGACGCGAAAATTTTTGTTCGTGTTTATTTCTGATTTTTGAATTAAACGACATTTAATAATTGGTTTATTACAATGGTTTATTGTGTGGAATATCAGTGTTAAAGTTATAGCGGCAAGAAATAAGCAGATATTACGTTTTACAGGTAAATGATAAACATCAATCGTTTTCACTTTATATATTTTCTTATATTTTTCATTTTATTTGGTGTTATACAACTTGGTATTTACATATTGTACATGTCTCACTCCAGAGTAATAAATTTTACCCACCAAGTTTGTTTGTTTATTTTATGCTTTTTATTGATATTTAAGCAATTAATGATATTAAAATGGACAAACATGTAATTTTTTCCAGTGGCGTGTCGTACAATTCTAAATATTAACTTTTATTAAATCCTAATTTACTTTTGCTTCTTATTTAATTGTTGTTTTATTTTAGATTTCCTGTGGATCCAGTAAAAAATCTTTGGATTCAGACAACGAAAATTGCAAATTGGATGCCAACGCCAAATGATAGCTAATGTTCAAAATATTTTAAAAGACATTTTTTTATGGGACGGATTGTAAAAGACGTTTACTAAATGGAGCCGTTCCCACTATATTTCCTGAATTCTCTAAATACATGCAGCCAAAGAAGGTGTGTATACTAATAAACATAATTAAACATATATTTTTTTAATTACTTTTTATTATTATGTTATGAACTTTTAAAAATTTATCAACCCTTTTGTGTATAATTCAAAACATTATCGTAATAATTGATTGTTTGTAGTACCTACTTAAAAAGAAGAGCATTGCATTTGGAAGCTGAGCCAGGCCCTTCAAATAACGAAATGAAACGAAACGCACTCCCCCATCTTTACGCCAATGAGCGATAGCTACCGAGGCTTTTCGTTCTGCGCATGATTTTTCTATTCGATGTTAATCTATATCACGTTCTCTACGCAATACCGTTTTTTCCGTTTGAATTGGACTAGTAATGTCCGAGAAACACGCTAAGGCCCTTGTGGCTTTTCGTTCTGCGCATGATTTTTCTCTTCTACGTTAATCGTTCTCTACGTAATGCCGTTTTTCCTGTTTGAATCGGACCAATAGCAGTGAAGATACATGCTAAGGCCTTTCTGTTCTGTTCAACGTTAATCTATACCACGTTCTCTACGTAATGCCGTTTTTCCTGTTTGGATCGGATCAACAATAGCTGAGATACACGCTAAGGCCCTTGTGGCTTTTCGTTCTGCGCAAAAATTCTTTTCAACGTTAATCTATACCACGTTTTCTACATAACGCCGTTTTTCCCGTTTGGATCGGACCAATAGCCGTGAAGATATACGCTAAGGCCCTTCTGGCTTTTCGTTCTTCGCAGGATTTTTCTCTTGTACGTTAATCTATACCACGTTCTCTACATAATGCCGTTTTTCCCGTTTGGATCGAACCAATAGCAGTGAAGATACACGCTAAGGCCCTTCTGGCTTTTCGTTTACCTCGTATATTTTTCATTTTTACGTCAACGTTTGCCGCCATCTTGGATTCTCGACGTTATCGTTTTCCTCTCAGACCGGCTGTCTCACTCTTTTCCATTGAATATGTACCTCTCACTCTTACACATTGAATTCCCTATGTGTCACAGAATCTGTATAGTCTATCTACTATTTGATGTCCTAAAAACACCTTGTTTTGTAACAAAGTACGTCCGTGTAATAAATTGTAATAAATTGTAATAAATTGTAATAAATTGTAATAAATTGTAATAAATTGTAATAAATTGTAATAAATTGTAATAAATTGTAATAAATTGTAATAAATTGTAATAAATTGTAATAAATTGTAATAAATTGTAATAAATTGTAATAAATTGTAATAAATTGTAATAAATTGTAATAAATTGTAATAAATTGTAATAAATTGTAATAAATTGTAATAAATTGTAATAAATTGTAATAAATTGTAATAAATTGTAATAAATTGTAATAAATTGTAATAAATTGTAATAAATTGTAATAAATTGTAATAAATTGTAATAAATTGTAATAAATTGTAATAAAGTGTAATAAATTGTAATAAATTGTAATAAATTGTAATAAATTGTAATAAATTGTAATAAATTGTAATAAATTGTAATAAATTGTAATAAATTGTAATAAATTGTAATAAATTGTAATAAATTGTAATAAATTGTAATAAATTGTAATAAATTGTAATAAATTGTAATAAATTGTAATAAATTGTAATAAATTGTAATAAATTGTAATAAATTGTAATAAATTGTAATAAATTGTAATAAATTGTAATAAATTGTAATAAACTGTAATAAATTGTAATAAATTGTAATAGATTATAATAAAGTGTTCTAAATTGTAAAATTTTCGACTAGAATCATCATACTTCAGATGTGGGGACTGACGTTTAAAAATAGTTACAAAGGAAATAGAAATATGTTTTTGGCATATTTACAATAGACCTGATTTACAAAGTACTTATTTAACAGTTATCCCTACTAACCCCTAGAGGGGTTTAAAAAATGAAGGTTACAACTTTTTAAATGAAGGTTAGAACTTTTTGAATAAAGATCTATGATATTTTCTTTATTATTACCCTGAATTTTAAACTTTTTTTGACAAAAATATTTTTAAAATTTTTGATACTAAATTTTTTTGACTTGAACCTTCAAAGTTCGGATATGGAAAATAAAGTTAGAAGTTGGATCATAGGAGTGTCTGAATTTAATAATATGTAGTAGGTATAAGATTTTTAGTTCAACTGTAACATTTTTTAAATTGCAGGCCTAACGTGTAAATTATGACTGTTCTGAAATAAAAAAAATTGTCAAAAAAAATGAAATTTTGGGTTTGTATGTAAAACAAATTGTAGATTCTAAATGTTTCATTTGATCTAAAACTTTCAAATTTAAAAAACATGATAAATCCTCTTTTTAGTGTCTAGAAGTTTCGGCGGAATTAATTTTCTTCTTGGGGATGGTGGGAGTTGGGAGTAAGATTTTTTATAAAAATAGTTTTTTTTAATTTTTGACATATAAAGTGACATTATTTGTAATCACAGCAAGTGTCAAAATGATCTACTTTAGGCAACCAGTTGCATAATGTTAAACATTATGAAACTGGTTTCATAAAAATTATTTACATCACCACTTGTGAAATGTATACATAAATAATATACATTACTATTGAAAGTTTATATTAAAGAAGGGCAGGTTGACTTACAAAAATCTGGTTAAATTTACAACCTAATAATAATGTTGTTTAAGTCTATATTATCATAATTTATTTGAATTAATAGATCTTTAATACTAGGAATATTCTAATATAAAACAATGAAATATAGTATAATAAAAATCATTAAATAATCAAACCCTAGTTAATATTTAATGTATCTTTTATATTTGTTTGAATTTAGCAGTAAATTTTAAATTATTAACATTTAATTATTTTCATTACCATTGAATTGTTATATATTAGGATATTCCTACTAATAAAGATTAATTCATTAATATATGGCGAATACATCCATATACCAAGTTTTGTCCCAATAACTCGAGCCCCAACAAACTGCTGCAATTACAAATATTTATAAATACCTGGATTTTAGCACCCTTATATTTTATACAACCAGGTACGGTTGTAAGGGTGGTAAACTCATAAGCGGCCACCTCAGAGTACACACCAGCTAAATTACTCAACAAAGTAGACTTCCCCACAGAAGGAAATCCTACAAATCCAACTCTAGCATCCCCAGTTTTGGCTACGTCGAACCCTTCTCCAGTACCACCGCCGCCACCTTTGGGGGTAATCAATTCTCGTCTAAGTTTTGCCAATCGAGCCTTCAGAAGTCCCAGATGTCCTGCAGTTGCTTTATTTTTTTGAGTTCTTGACATCTACCAAACCGGGTTTTTAGGTTAGTTCACATTTTTAGTGTTATGGTATTTAATTTACTCACCTCGGCCTCAATGGCTGCGATTTTTTCTAATATCGTACTCATTTTTAAAGGATTTTATTAATAAACAGGTAATTAAATGTCCTAAATTTGAATTTCACGTGCTAAATAAAAATATGTTATTTTCGTCTTTCGACATACGTGACAGTGACGTGTAAGTGACAGCCTGACAGCTATTATATATCAAATTTCTTCTTCTTGATTTTATTCCGAACCATCTATTATTAAGTAGGTATTTAGCTACTCCAAAAAATTGTTTCAGTGTTCAAGTCGCCACAAATAGGTCTTTTCCTTTGCATCGAAAGTGTAGCACGTAGCACTGAGCTACACCAATTCTGAAAATATGTATTTGTAGAAATTGTATGGATAGAACGATATTTTCAGAAGCGGCGTATTCAGTGCTACACTTTCGATGCAGAAGAAAAGACCTAATTAAATGTACATAAAGAAAGAAGAACTGACTTAAAATTGACAGTGGCTAAAAGTACGTGTTCGGATTATTTGAATAAAGAATTTTGTGATCTTGCAACTTTTTGTACTGGATTCTTGAGAAATATATATTCAAATATTTTTCAAATAATTGTACATAGACCATTATAAAATACCATTTTTACTATTCAAATATTTTCATGTCTACTTTAGCTAGACGTAATGGAATATTAACCACCACCAACGATATAAAGCGGGAACAGGTTTGTTGTTTGTTTATCATTATTCAAAGAGTGTTGTTCTAAAGCGTTTTTTAATCGTTATTTACATTTAACAGTCCCTTTCGTACATAGTTATTTAAAATGAAACCACAAAAGAACATTATTATTACGGTGGCACCTCAGCAGGATCAGGTATAAAAATTAAATTTAGGTTATGTATTATTTTCAGTAAGATAACGGTTTTTTTTTTTAGGAAAATGTAAAAGATACACGAAAAACTTTTAAGGATTTACAAAGAAATGCTACTGATAAAGAAAATTTAATAGGCAGATCATCAACGGCAAAGGATATCAAAGTATTTAGGTAAGATGTTAACCTTTAAAAAATGACGCTTATTAACTAATATTTTATTTGATAGTGACTCCGGCAAAGTAGAGCCAAAGAAAAAGAAATTGCAAATGATTAGCAAAAGCACACAAACAGGACAAAGTTATGTAACGGCAGATGATCTGATTTCTGAGGAGCCCAGTGTAGATTACTGGAAAAAACTTGCTGAAACCAGAGGCCAATCTTTAGATGATAGTTTACACGAAATCGAGAAACTCAAGGACAACGTTCATGCTTTAAAGGAAGAAAACAAAATTTGCAAAGAAATGTTGGAAGAATCTAAAACTTTAGTCGAAGTTCTTCAGGTAAATAAACAGATTCTATTGTAATAACTAATTTGCTTTACCAACCTTTATATTTTTAGGAAATGCTTAGTGAATCTGAAGGAGGAGAATCCCAAGACAATAATTCTAGTATTGAACAGGAAACTGAAGTTTAAATTTGATTAGTATATTATATTTATATGTATATTGTAAGAAATATAGTTAGACTGCATCACTTGCTTGTGAAGCAAAATAGATTTTAAGCATTTTATAATTAGGTAGGTATGTCTTATGTAGCTTTTGGTAATATAAATTTTTGTATAAAATGTTTATATTATTCAAGCCCCCCCAAAAACCAAATTAGCCCCCCCAAAAATAATTAGAACATTTATCGCACATCCACCCAAACATTTCAGAACAGAAATTAAAAAATAAAAAGAATCGTGCCATTTGATTGATTCTGCAATTTTACATTTAGTTCAGGAAGCAGTGAATTTTTTTCGTATTCATTTTTCCAGTCGGTGTATATGAAAAATAAACTGTTCTCTTAGTGACAAAAAACAAAATTTTTGAGTCTGACACTTATTTTCCCAGTCATAACTATTTTACATTTACTAAACTAGAACATAAAGCTTATAAAAATAGCAGTTTGGATTATCTTAGTGGAAAGTGAGTGTGGCAGAAAATTGAGCATATAAATTGATACAATCATGAACTGTTTATAATAATATATATATAATAAGTCTGGCTGATTTACGAAATTGGCTAATGAGTCTAGAAATATCTTCTAAATGGAAAAAATATAATATTTTTGCTTTTATTTTCCCGGGTTTGAAAATTTGTCACGTGATAGATTAAATTATAATTTTACACCTCCATTTTATAGTCAATCAACTGCTGTTATTTTAAAACACTTTCATGACAACCAGAAAAATTTCCGGAAATTTTTCTTTTGGTGGGTACCCTGAACGAAATAATACTGAAAATTCCACACCTGTAATTTTGAACCAATCAAAATACGTGTTTTTGACAGATCACCATGGCAACGGAGGTATTTTAGTGGAAATTTTTTTCTCGTGGGGTACCCAACAGCGAATTATACTGGAAATTTTTTGACGTTTACAATAACAGACCATTTTTGACAGACTGGTTTTTATTTGTTCACATAATAGGTTTAGTTTTGATACATTTTAGTTACAATGCTAAGGTGTTTTCTATATTCTTCGGCCACTTCTTTTCTTCTTAATGGCGAAATGCAGGACTTTGGATGCTTTGAATTATGTGTCTATGTCTAATAAAATATATATAATATTTAGACACTAATTTATTCACCTTTTTCCCATTCAGCACTTTGAATTTTGCGTAGTTTAGGTGCAAATATTCGTGGACAATTCGGAACAAATTTTCGTTTTTCAAGTTGGAGCCACAATCCTCTATTAATCCGAGTAAGTAAGTCATGGTGCAATGATTGATCATTACATCAGACAATTTCACGCATATTTTGCATAGCGTATGATTTTCAAATCGATTCATTTTTAAACAAATAGGTAATTTTGTTGGTTTTACTTGCTGTGCAATATTCTTTATCGCAACAAAACGCGAGTTATTTAATGTTTTGAACTGTCAAAATACAATGATCACAGCCTCCTACGATTGATGCTTGCTGACGCTGGTTATGAATTTCATACCATTTTAAAACGCTCATAACGCATGTTAATAAAAACGCAGAAAAACAATTTTCTACCACTTGTAGTTATTCAAAACTTACGTAAAATTAAAGAATATACTATTTTCAAATGGTATTCCCATGCAACTACAATGAGTAGAAATAAGCAATTTGAAGGCCTAAATAATTGCAGCGAAACATTTTTTTACGTCGGGCCGCTTGACAACTTCAAAACTGAAATTATATTCGAGGTTAGGGTCTCACTTAGTTACCATGACAACTCAACAATCAAGGCGACAACACCTTTTATGTTTCACTGGTGACTTGGAGAAAATAATTTGCATTGTTGAGAAACGAAAAATAAATTTTAAAAATATTTAATTTTCAACCATAATTCGGCGTGGAATTTTCTTACCGAATACCACGCGAGGTCAAATTAATATCAGGAAATTTTTTGACCTATAGTGGTATTACTAGTGAAAATTTTTTTGACAGTTGAGCAGCTCTTTCATTGCTGCCTTTGAGAATCCACATCGGATGCATTTTTTACATCTCGAGCGTTTTTTATTCACATCGGACACATCTGTCCCATTACATTTACGTATACTGAATCACGTGATCAAAGATTTTTTACATCTCGGATGCATCCAATGTGGATTCTCAAACGCAGCACATGCATATAAAAAATTTGCCATTTCAGTGGTAAATATTTTATTTAATACCAATTATAACTAGGTAGAAATACACTACATTTATTTTATGTAAAATAATAATTAGGTTTTTCGCGTCAAATAAACGACTTCAAATATGACAAATGGTCATGGTATGGCCACAGCATATTCTGTGGTATGGCTACCTTTAAAAATTTGATTTTAGTCGTTTTAATGCATGTCTGTCAAGTTTTAAAATTTGGATATTTTGGTGTAAAACTTTCTTACCCAATACCAAACGTGCCTAAATTATTACCAGTAAATTTTTGCACACTCACGCATATTTTAAGAACATTATCCATCTACTTAGGATAAATTTCAAAATATTCGTAAGTGAAAATACACGTCTGGCTGACAATTACAATTACAGAGGCCTGCCAGACTCACAAGTAGTGTCCGACCGAAGGTTCGGTTACGGTTTCGGCCAACTTTGGCTTTAAATAATAGTTTCGACTACAGTTTCGGTTTCGGCGGAAAACTGGCCGAAACTGCAGCCGACAGCGAAACTACTTTTAAAAGTGTTCGTATCACAATTGGTCCGGCACAATGGCGACTGTGCCGGGTGCCATTCCTACACAGTGCACGCACACACAAACTTCTCTGCTTTGTTTCAAGTGAACATGTCAATAAATTTATTAATGGCTTCTTTTGATCACATAAATAAAGAGGTAATAAGTAAATGTAGCTAAAATTTATAATACGAGTTAATTAGTCTAAAACAAGGATTACAATGAGATATTGCAAATTTCAATAAGAGATTGCCTTAAAAGAAAGTTCTTGTGTCTGTTTCGGCCGAAACTAAGAAAGGAGCCGAAATTTGGTTTCTGTTTCGGTTATAAAACCGTATTTCGGTCGGACCTGACAAGCCAGGTAGTTAAACGAGGAGAGGAATAGTAATCGAACGTGCCGAATTTAGCGCGCCTGACGGTCATTAGACGAGTCTGGCAAGGCTTTCGGGGTGTTCCACATTAGCCAGATTGTATTTTAAGCTGTTATCATAATATACATTTTTCTAGTAGTGAGAACACTTGTAACAGGGATCCTTACTGGACATTGCCAACTAAAATTACACCTTAGTAAACTGAGAGTAGTAGAAGATTTTGTGAGGAGGAGGAAAAAATCTTCATTCACATTCTAACTAAATGTGTGTAGCACTTCAGAATCCAAGGGCACTATACTTAGGAGCATATCAAATAGAAGAGGGAGATTTACCTAACTTGAAGCCACTCCAAATCCTACACTTCCTTGAGAAGATATAATTGAAAGGATCTTTATTCGCGATTCAAGCTAAGTGATACGCCCTCTGGAGGAAATTTGTAGGATATCGTTCAGTGTTGCCAGAAGTTTCGCTACGTCGTCGGATTTTAGCTCTTGAAGAAGCCCAGACAGCACACCAAATCCTTTGGATATCTACTGAACATCCCAATATCCACTGAATGTCCAGTCTATGGTGGATATCTATTTTATATCCATAAAATGTAATTTATAGACATGCAAATGTCCATAAATAATAGTAATATTATATAGCAAATTATTAAAAAATTACGCCATTGTGGCTAATAGTACCGTTCAGATATTTAAAATTAATTTTTTTAAGGTGTATTCAATATCCCATGGACATCCACATATATCAAAGTCTTAGCGCGGACGCAAACCATCGTGGATATCTACTAGATGTAATTTTTGATTTTGCTTCCTAAGTATAGATGGCGATACCACTTTCGTATCTACTCATGCTCAACCCGCCATAATTGAGTTGATCGAAAAAAAATTCGCAATAAGACTCTATTAGAGACTGGAGTCGAGAATTTCCATTTATTGCTGAAGAGTCCTAATAAGGATGACTTTTTCCTTAGTGGGCAAACTCAAAGGCAGGTTGTTGGAAATATTTTCTTTCGACGTTATTCAATAATCATTTGGTTACTTATGAATGTGTACTAAAGATACCTATAAAATATTTTGCTGAATATCTGAATTTTATATCCTGGGATATAGACGGACATTTGGTTGGATATCCATATTTGGATATCCACAAAATATATTCTGTGGATATCTCTGGGATTTCTTGTATTGTCTGGAAGATACTAATTAGATATTTTGCTTAATATCCATAGGATATCTTCTATATTCTGGATATAGACGGACATTTGGATATCCATATTAGATCCACGGAATATTTCTGATATCCTGTGGATATATTGGATATCCACAAAAGATATCTTTGGGATTTGGTGTGTTGTCTGGGAGTGGATAAGACCTTTTATTTAAGAATCAAAATTTGTGTATAGTAATATGTAATCATACTCTATATTTATTTAAGGCCTTTTTTATAAAACCGATTTATTATATTATTTTTTTTTTATTTCAGTTCATTTATTAATTTTGTTTTAAAATCAGTTCATCATTTGGCAACGAGTTCATTGTTTACATTTTAATTTGTATCAATTACAATTCGAGTTTTTCTTACTTTTTAGCTTTAAATTTGTTTATTTCTTATAGTATGTGATAGTGTTTATGTTAAAAATGAAATCTGCGAAAAAGTCCCCAGCAAATTGCAATCTATATGGTGTTAATGTCAAAATCAAAACTGAAGTATTCATTATTTTCCAAGTGCAAGTCGTAAAATTTAGTTTTTTACCACAAATGGATATCTACAAATTCACAATATTGAAATTTTGCAAAACTTTGTTTAGAATCGATATATGATATTTTATCCATTTTCATAGATTCGCCAGAATTTTTTACTTAACTTCAGTGGGTATACCCCGAGAATACCGATCAAGGAGAAGCGACAGTAGCTGTCGGTGCCTTTGATATCGGATGTACCTTTTTCACAGCATGACTTTGATTGATACACAACTTAGCACGCTGAGAAAACATGCTTATTTTCTACACTGAGCGAAATAGTTTGGCAAATTATCCGAAATTATTGTTATAGTCCATGCGCA